CCACTCATTAACCCCCGGCTGCATGCCCTCTGCAACGCTTTTCTCCTCCCTCACTAGAGACCTGTCGCTATAATCCTGCTTTATTTGAATCTGTGTCATTATTTACTTCATGTTATACTTGCAGCTTCAGGATTTCTGTCCTTTTTATACCTTGTTCCTGTACAGACCTAGGCCTTGTTCAGAAAATGGAAAACATCAGTAGTGTTTCAGTGCCCCGGCTGCATGCCCTCTGCAACGCTTTTCTCCTCCCTCACTAGAGACCTGTCGCTATAATCCTGCTTTATTTGAATCTGTGTCATTATTTACTTCATGTTATACTTGCAGCTTCAGGATTTCTGTCCTTTTTATACCTTGTTCCTGTACAGACCTAGGCCTTGTTCAGAAAATGGAAAACATCAGTAGTGTTTCAGTGCCGGACTCACTGTTGCTGCTGCATTTACCTGGGAAACATTTCCCAAAAGGCAGGGCACTGAACTTCAGCAGCATGCTGGCTGCATTGCTATAACTTCCCAGGAAAAATGACACTCTTCAGGAAAGATTATGTAAATGCAACTCTCAGTTGTTTGTCAGTCCATGCTGCATGTGTAAACACACATTCACACTTTCTCCCGGGGTCTGGTGCGTAACATGACAGCTTCAGGCTGGGATGGCATTAATAGCTGAGCCTTCACAACTATTGGAACAGGCTCGATGCCACCAGATGCAGATGAGCTGATAACAGGCATCGGGTGCCTGTTAGCCACGTTGTCACTCAAGACACCAGTCCAAGGCACCAGTCTGTGCTCCGCTCCCCAGCAGTGCTTGGTGTGGAGAGGCTACAGCTTATGGCTAGCAAATTGCCAAGGCACAGGGAGCCTGTAAGCCCTGTAAGCATTGCAGCTACTCCCCTGAATCCCACTAGCATCCTACATGTGGAGCTGGGAGTCGTGCCTCTGATTCTGTGTTGGGCTCCGTATTTATTATCAGCTGTGAGCTCTGCTCTCCAAATACCCCCAGTTTTGGGGCAAGCCAGCAGCCAGCAAAATGAGCATAGAAAGGCGAGAACTGCAGGACTGCAAGTAAGAGCTGTCTCACAGTGTAGCAGTCCAACCTCACCATGTCCCATGGCCATTGCCTTTCACATAAGCATATCGTTGTGTCTTCTTGTCTGCCTAGAAGGAAGAGCTTGGCTTTTGCAATTTCCCCAGTGTCCCCTACAGCTTGTCTTTGCCATGTTGAGGCTAGCAAGAGGGAACCCACCCCCAGGCAGCGTTACCTGTCAGAAGAACAGGGGCCTGGACTGTCCGTCCTGCTCGCACTGCCCCTTGAAAGGTAACAGATGCCCCGTGGAGGACTGAATCTGGCTTGGTGGCTGTGTCAGTAGTACCAAGCACTTAGAGCTGCCTCCCCTGTGGATGTCCACGCAGAGAACCAAGACCAGCGTGTACCTCAGTTTACATCCCAAGGCAGAACTTCACCATATCCTGTCTTGAGTGCTGAGGCCGGGTCTCATCCTCCACTTTCCCATGCCTCTGATGGGATGGTGTGCTGAGGTGGAAGCAGCATGCAGAGAAGGCCAGTGGGGCAAAGCTGCAGTCTCTACAAATGGTTCTCTTGCAGTGTTGCAGCATGACGAGCATGGTCTGACATTGGTGTGCCTAATGCACCATCTCCCAAGAGCCAATGCTTCTGCTTTTCCTCTGGATGCACGAAAGCCAAATCCTGCTGCAGAGGATGTGTGGTTCTCTGTGGCCACAGTTTGCAGTCCTAGCTAATGATGTAGCCCCCCACAACTTCGGGGCCAATATTCATTAGAATCCAGCTTTAATAGTCCTGTGCAAACATGGCTCTGCATGTTCTTTTGCAAACTGCTTTGCTGTGATTATGCAACTCACTGAGGTAAAAAAGACCCTTACACAAATAGGTTTCTCTTTTCCTTGATGCCAGCCATCAGTCATTCCATTTGCATCTGTCTGTCTGACTCTCTCCCTCACCTTTACACAGTGACTCCAGGGATGAAGATTTACATTGATCCATTCACCTACGAAGATCCCAATGAGGCTGTCAGGGAATTTGCAAAAGAAATCGATATCTCTTGTGTCAAAATCGAGCAGGTGATCGGGGCAGGTAGGTGAACTGTCAATGCCTAGCTGTCCCTCAGCACCACAGTTGTGTCTGTGGTCTCAGGCTTGGTGACGATTTAGCTTTACATGTACTGGGAAGACTACTGTCAGTAGAGTCTTACACTCAGCCACAGCCTGGACTAGCAGGAGCAACGTGGTCCAGTGCTGGAGGAGCAAATACATCCAGTGCTGGAGACAAGGAGTTCCCATGTGCATATAGCCCCATGTCCAGTGCGCATCACCAATGATGAGTTCACCTGAAGAGAGGTCTTTGGTGTGGAGTGAGGGAGGAAGCACAGATCACATGGTGGGTGGTCAGCTCAGGAGCATGCAAGGTGGGCACAGCTGGAACCTGTGGGAGCAGTGTCCCTCAAGGAGACAGGAAGAGGTCTGGGAGGCTGACAAGCCCTAGCTATTTCCCTCTGTTCACAGGAGAATTTGGTGAGGTGTGCAGTGGGCATCTCAAGCTTCCTGGCAAAAGAGAGATCTTTGTGGCCATCAAGACCCTGAAGTCTGGTTATACGGAGAAGCAGAGACGGGACTTCTTGAGTGAAGCCAGCATCATGGGGCAGTTCGACCACCCCAATGTCATCCACCTGGAGGGGGTGGTGACCAAGAGTTCACCAGTCATGATCATTACTGAGTTCATGGAGAATGGCTCACTGGACTCCTTCTTGCGGGTATGATATCCTAGGAGCGTGCAGCTCCAGAGATTGTGTTGGGCCAGAGGAGGACTGCAGGGGAAGGTTCCCTTCCCTGTGCCAGTATAACAGTGCCCTTCACTGCCCAGCATCCCCTGCCACTGGGGTAGCTGCTGCATAGTCCAGAGGTCTGTGTCTTAGGAACAGAGGTGAAGGCAGCACCAAGGCTGTGGTCTGTTACATGCGCCTGTCCACTCATAGTAGCGAAAGGCTATGCCTGCCTGTACGCAAGCCCACAGATGCATGTGCAAACTCTGCCCCTGGACATGGAGAGACAGTCCTATGTAGTTTTAACACAGGACTTCACTTCCAGCTGCTCTGTCTAAATATTTATAGGTCTGAGTTTGAAATGGATAATTCATTGAAGGGAGATAACCTGCATAATCGGAATAAATTGCCCCTTCTGAACCCTCCCGTGCAATGTGTGGCAGATTTGCCGCCTTTGCATGGCAGCAGCCTTTGGTAGTGACACCCATAGGGTGTGTGAGGGTGACTTCCAGGCCCTGCGAGCTCTCCACTCTCCACCCTCTTGCTCTGAGGGGGAACTTATGTACTCATGGCATAGCTGTGTCTTGACATGCAGCGTAGAAAAAAGTTACTTGCTGTTTGCTGGACCATAGTGGGCTGTCAATTTGCCCTTCTCATGTGGACTTTTTCCCCCTCTTCCCTTAAGCAAAACGATGGGCAGTTCACAGTGATCCAGCTGGTGGGCATGTTGCGGGGCATCGCAGCAGGCATGAAGTACCTGGCCGATATGAACTACGTGCACCGGGACCTGGCTGCCCGCAACATCCTGGTGAACAGCAATCTGGTCTGCAAAGTGTCTGACTTCGGCCTCTCCCGTTTCCTGGAGGACGACACCTCTGATCCCACCTACACCAGTGCACTGGTAAAGCTGCTTTTGCAGAGGAGGAGGGATGGGTGGTGAAGAAAGGAGTCAGGGAGAGAGAGGGAAAAGGAGAGATCCCCCTTGGTGTGAGGAGTGCTTTTTCAGGGTGCCAACAATGGAAATAAGGTGCTAGATGGGAAAAAACAATGAAATGAATGAATCAAGATTTTCTCTTGCAAGGTTCTACCCCACTGTCCAGTGGCTGTTGATGGGCTCTATAGTCATTCCTGTGGATAACTGAGCCTCTTTCAAACAGATCTGCAAACATATACGTGTCCCTGATAAAGCTCTTATTTGGGATAATGCATTATCATCCCAACTAAGGAATGATGCATTGTTATCCCCACGCAGCGTGGCCCAGCTGGGGGTCCTCTGAGATGCTACCTTGACAGATTTGTTGCCAGGGCAGCGAGTCTGGGGTTTTTTTACCATCGCTGTTGAATCACAGTGTCCTGGTGTGCTGGAGGCTGTGATCCTTTTCATGTCATGGACTCAGCCCCAGGAGTGACAGACTGAAGTGTGGATGCGTGCTTGGTGAACTCCTGCAGTACTAGATACTGATCTTCCAGTGACTCTTTCTGAATTAGACAGAGAAATGTTCCCAGAAATGGCTTCATGATCATGTAGCAGCTTCCCAGGTATGCCGCGGTGCCGGTGTGTCCTGGTTTCAACTGGGGTAGAGTTTTCTTCATAGCAGCTAGTGTGAGGCTATGTTTTAGATCTGGGATGAGAAAATGCAGATAACGTAGTGATGTTTTGGGTTGTTGCTAAGCAGTCAAGGACTGTCCAGCTTCTCATGCTGGCTGGCCAGCGAGAAGGCTGGGGGTGCACGTGGAGCTGGGAGGGGACACAGCCAGGACAGCTGACCCAGGCTGGCCAAAAGGATATTCCATACCATATGATGTCATGCTCGGTGTATAAAGCTGGGCAAAGAAGAAGGAAGGGGCCAGTCAGAGTGATGGCGTCTGTCTTCCCAAGAAACCATTATGCATGATGGAGCCCTCTCTGCTTTCCTGGAGATGGCTGAATGCTACTTAGTGAATGGATTCCTTGGTTTGCTCTGCTTGCGTGCACGGCTTTTGCTTTACCTATTAAACTGTCTTTATCTCAGACCATGGGTTTTTTCACTCTTCCAATTCATTTCCCCATCCCACTGTGGCGGAGTGAGTGAGTGGCTGGGGGGGGCTTTGGTGGCAACACACCATGGTTAATTTGCATCAGGGGTTGCCAGCTGGGGCTAAACCACAACACAGTGACACAAGTGCCACTGAGGACTCATGGCCTGTCCCAGGCTACGAGAGCATGCACCAGGACCAAAGGATAGTTTGGAGACTTTGTTGTTGTTCAGTAAGATTGCAGCCAGGAGTTCTCATAGATACCACTGTTTGCAAAGGCAGAGAGCATCACTTTACAATGATGCTACAGGATCAATGCCTACATAAAATGCCTACATACAATGGCTATGACAGGACTTCTTGGAAACAAGTGTTGATAGAGTTGGGGCATGATCTGCAGGAAATCGTTTCTCCTGGATCTTTTGAAGCTGCCAGTGATGAGATGTCTGCCGTAACTCTTAGCGAATTGTATACCAAACAAACACCTACAAATATGAACTTTTATTCTCATTTGAACTTGTGTGGCTTCAAACATCAACCATTCGATCTCATGCAGTCATCCTATGGCTTTTAGACACGCTAGCAACATTTATTTTTCACAACATGATCTTTATATCCAGTTAACTTTCCCTTTGTTAAGCTGAATACATGGGAGCTTCTGGTGTTTACGTCTGTTTTCTATGCCTGTTATTGTCCCTGTAGCTTTTCTCTCTGTCATCTCTAATTTATTCTTCTTGAACTGTGGGCACTGTACCAGGACATATATTATCTATAACAATAGAATATGTGCACCCACTATAACGGAGTACCAGAAGTACTATAACGGAGTACCAGTCTTCCTCTTCAAAGTGCACCATCCTCAAATGTTCCACAATGCGTGAATGTTTTTTATTATAATTATCCCAGAGACCTTGTGTCCATTGATGGGCAACAGCCACAAGCTATGGCTTGGGAGGTTCATGCTGGACCTTAGGAAAATCTCCTTCTCCCACAGGGTGGTGAAGCTTTGGGTCAGATCACCAGAGAGGTTGGAGGTATCACGGAAGTGAGTTCCCACAAGGATCCTCCAAATGTCCAGAGGATGATGTATCACTGACTTCAGTCTTGGAGTCCACAGATGTAGAAAGCTGAAGAGAATGGTTTTCTAATTCCTTTTATTCTGCTCTGGAGATGGCTAGGTGACAGCAAAAGGATGGAGGGAGATTCAAAGAGGATCAGTTTGGATTTTTCTAGAAAAGACCCTACTAAAATGGACATTTGTTATGTCCAAGATTGCTATAGCAGTAGGCAGGTGGAAGGAGCTGAGCTTGTTTAATATGATGAAGAAGAGGCTGAGGGGACACCTATAAGTGACCTGTAGTACTTGAAGAGTATTTACGAAGAAGACAGAGCCAAACTCTTTGCAGTGGTACCAGGTGATATAATAAGGGTGTTGTGGTTTATCCCCAGCTGGCAACTAAGCACCATGCAGCCGCTTACCCACCCGCCACCCCAGGTGGGATGGGTGAGAGAATTGGAAAAAAAAGGCAGACTTGTGGATTAAGATAAAACAAGTTTAATAGGACAGAAAAGGAAGAGGAAGTATTATTGTTAATAATAATAATGATAAAGGAATATACAAAAACAAGTGATGCATAATGCAATAATTGCTCACCGCCCAGTGATCGATAGCCCAACCCTGAGCAGCGATTCCTGGCTCCCAAACAACTCCAATTTTGTATACCGAGCATGACATTATTTGGTAGGGAGTATCCTTTTGGCCAGTCTGAGTCAGCTGTCCTGGCTGTGCCCTCTCCCAGCTTCTTGTGCATCTCCCCACTGGCAGAGCATGGGAAGCTGAAAAGTCCTTGACTGACTATAAGCACTACAGCCACTTAGCAACAACGAAAAACATCAGTGTGTTATCAATATTATTTTCATACTAAATTCAAAACACAGCACTATGCCAGGTATTAGGAAGAAAATTAACTCTATCCCAACCAACACTTGGATACAAGGGCAATAGACAAAACCATGGCTTGGGAGGTTCAAGGGAATAACAGGAAAAGCTTCTTTCCCAAGATGGTGGTGCAGCCCTGGGACAGACGAATGGGGGAATCATCATACCTGAAGAGTTTCTGGACTTGGCTAGACAAGCCACAACCATCCTGATCTAGTGTTACGGTAGTCCTGTGTTCCCTTCCATCTAGGATTTTATAAGCATATTGGAGGCAAATATTTTGGACACTCATCTTTTTAAGTTAGCTTTTTCTCTTTCTGTTACTGTCCTCTCTGTTTGCTTTCCTGCAGGGTGGGAAGATCCCAATACGGTGGACAGCACCTGAGGCAATTCAGTACCGAAAATTCACATCGGCTAGTGATGTGTGGAGCTACGGAATAGTCATGTGGGAGGTGATGTCCTATGGCGAGCGGCCTTACTGGGATATGACCAATCAAGATGTGAGTTGTTAAGAAAAAAGCAGAAACACTGAAATTGGGAGCATTGCAAGGCCAAAGCTTGGCTACAGCTAGACCTAGCCTGTGGCATGTTCAGAGCCTTCTCTGTCATGGGGACATGTGTCCAAGGTCAACACCTATGGAAGAAGTAAAGGGGATTACTTTGGCTTTTGTCCTGGTCCCATTGTGCTGCTGTGGCAGAGGTTAGGGACTGTACAACACCCACTGTGGTAGGACAGGGTTAATATGAGCACCCTTAGCAGTGGTAGACAGGTGCCCAAGAGGAAAGGGAGCAGGTAGGTAGAAAACGAAATCATAGAATCACAGAACAGTTTGGGTTGGAAGGGACCTTTAAAGGTCATCTAGTCCAGTCCTCCTACAACGAGCAGGGACATCTTCAACTACAGCAAGTTGCTCAGAGACCTGTCCAATCTCACCTTGAATGTTTCCAGGGATGGGGCATCTACCACCTCTCTGGGCAACCTGTGCCAGTGTTTCACCATCTTCAGTGTCAAAAATTTCTTCATTATATCTAGCCTAAATCTACCCTTTTTTAGTTTAAAATCATTACCCCTTGTCCTATCACTACAGGCCCTGCTAAAAGGTCTGTCCCCATCTTTCTCATCAGCCCCCTTTAAGCACTGGAAGGCTGCAATAAGGTCTCCCTGGAGCCTTCTCTTCTCCAGACCGAACAACCCCAACTCTCTCAACTTGTCCTCCTAGGAGAGGTGTTCCATCCCTCTGATCATTTCGGTGAACCCTCTCCATGTCTTTTCTGTGCTGGGGACTCCAGAGCTGAACGCAGCACTGCAGGTGGGGTATCACCAGACCAGAGCAGAGGGGCAGAATCCTCTCCCTCACCCTGCTGGCCACGCTGCTTTGGGGGCAGCCCAGGACATGGTTGGCCTTCTGGGCTATGAGTGGACATTGCCGGCTCATGTCCAGCTTTTTACCCACCAGTAACCCCAAGTCCTTCTCCAGGGGGCTGCTCTCCATCCCTTCACCCCCAGCCTGTGCTGATACCAGGAGTTGCCCCAACCCAGCGGCAGGACCCTGCACTTGTCCTTGTCGACCCTCATGAGATTCACATGGGCCCATTCC